TTAAAGGCAGTTTTAGATCGATTAAGCGCTAAGGGTGAAAAATGATGTTGGAAAGAGATTGTTGGTGCAGAATATTTTTTAAGCTTGCGTTTGGGAATAAGAAATAGAGAATGTCGCATAGACGAATGGCACAGATTCGACGGTGTTGTTCTTAGGTTGCGAATGCAATTTAATAATGCAATTTGCATAATGCAATTCAAGCGTTCTTACTTCCAAGAATAGGAGGATATTCAAAAACAAACTGCAGACATGCGTTAAGACTCCAATGATTAATCAAGACTAAAAACTACTGAAATGATTCAGGACAATAAAAACCTTTTGGAAGTATCTTTATATATAATCAAAACAAAAAGCGATATTTAATAAGTTAGAAGGTTGCCTCACTTGATTAGCGGTCAGCAGGATGCTCAACGAACAGAGTTACTAACGCAATATAATTGCAATTTTTTCTTATGCCACATGAACATATTTTGGTTAGAGGACGAATTGTGCAGGAAACGAGCGAGTTCTGTAATTATTCAACTTTTATTTCAAGAAGGCAACATCGACGAAGCGAATGAGCAGCTCCGATCAGCGATTAAGCGAATCTGGAAACGTACACCAGCAAAGATGCTCGACGAGGTGGTTCCACCTGCAGGAAGTATGTTTGTCAAAATCCACAGTACGTCTAATATTGAAGTATTATTTTGTTGTTTCAGAGGAAGACGATGTGACTGTGGGAAAATTCTACGCGACGTTCTTAATTCAGGATTATTTCCGTCGTTTCAAAAAGCGAAAAGAACTTGAGGCAAAAGGAATTATGCCAACACACACGCCGCAGGCGATGGCACTTCAGGTTGATTGTTGAAGTTTATAACATTTAGGTACAGGTTTCAAACTAGGGACCAATATCGGACGTTGTTTGCGGATCTAGAGCAACAATTCTGTGAAGGCGTCAGATAGAATAAAAAGCAAGCCACAAGCTCATTTCTTGATTCTGCGTAATTTTAAAATCATTGAGATCTCATTTTAAAGACTTGGGATTCTCCTTTACTATAAGAATATATTCTAACATTGTTATTTAGAAAAATTAGGAAGAAGGGAAAAGAAAAAGATGTTAACTTTATCTTTGAAAAAGCAAATCCATAAGGGACGTGAAACGTAATGATAGCTTAAAATTTCGGAAATTTTGAAAGTGCAAAAAAATGAGACAACTATTACTAAATTGAAGAAATTATTAAAAGTTTTTGAAAGGCTAGTAGGCCGAATATTTTTATTTGTGCTGCATACATATAATAAAATGCTGGGCCTATTGTATTGAACTATTCGAGCATGGTTTGAACTGACAGCGACTTTCTAAAGATGTTAAGCAGAAGGCTTCGACATCAACTGTTTCTTTAAAGGTCCCGTTCTAAAAGTTCCCTCACTGTGGTTCACAAACTGTTTACCACGCGTTAGAGGAAAATACTTCCTCAAGCAGGATGTGCTCAAGATGGCCGCAGTGGTTAAAGGGTAGAGTTATTTCAAGATTTTGGTGTGTTGTGAAAGGTCATGCACGGCTTCCTGCTGAATGAAAGGAGTCTAATATTGTTCTTGCCAGAATGGTAGTCAATTATAATACCAGTGCTTATTAGATGGGTGACTTATAGTTCAAAAGAAAATCATCTATAGTCCTTACTGGGCAACATAATATTTCTAACCATATATCAAGGAAGGGTATCGTTCCACAACCTTTCAGATGCGTCATTCTTGGACTTGTAGTTCCACAGCGCAAACAAGCTATTCACC